AATCCAGCTATTTTGCCCTTCTTATCGCGTCATCAGATAATCGCCCAGCCACCCTGTTTAGGGTGACCCGCTCCATCCGGAAGCGCGGGATGATCCCTTGCAGGGTTGAGCTGAGGATTTTGTGCAGTATCTGTATGACAAGATCGCTCAGATTCGGGAAGGCCTGGCCTCTGACTGGGTAAGTCTGGATGGGATGACTGAGGCAGGTCTTGAGAGTGTTATCTGGAGGAGTTTGATCCTGTGGCTCCCGAGGATGTGGACAGGTTCCTGGGACGGCTGAACGCGACCACATGTTTATTGGACCCGTGTCCCTCCTGGTTGGTACTGGCTTCCCGGGAGATTACACGAGGTTGGCTCCAGAGGATTGTTAACACTTCTCTGAGTGAGGGGGTCCTGCCGACCACTTTGAAAGAAGCGGTGGTGAGGCCCCTCCTCAAGAAGCCCTCTCTGGATCCGGCTGTTCTGGCTAACTATCGTCCAGTCTCCAACCTTTGCTTGGTTGCGAAAGTTGTTGAGTGTGTGGTGGTGCGGCAGCTTCCCCAGTACCTGAATGAAGCTGTCTATCTAGATCCGCTCCAGTCCGGCTTCTGGCCTGGGCACAGCATGGAAACGGCATTGGTCGCGTTGGTGGATGATCTCTGGAGGGCTCGGGATAGGGGTTGTTCCTCTATCCTGGTCCTGTTAGATCTTTCAGCGGCTTTTGATACCATCGACCATGGTATCATGTTGCACCGGTTGAACGGGCTGGGAGTGGGGGGCACCGTTTTGCGGTGGTTCTCCTCCTACCTCTCTGACCGGTTCCAATCTGTGTTGACGGGGGCAGCGGACGACCCCGAGGCGTCTTGCTTGTGGGGTGCCACAAGGGTCGGTCCTCTTGCCCCTTCTGTTCAACATTTATGTAAAGCCGCTGGGTGAGATCATCCGTGACTTTGGGGTGGAGTTCCATCAGTACGCTGACGACACTCAGCTGTACATCTCCATCCCAGGCCACTCCAACAATGCCCTTGAAGTGATGTCCCAGTGCCTGGAGGCCGTGCGGGCCTGGATGGGGAGAAACAGGCTCCGACTGAACCCTTCCAAGACCGAGTGGCTGTGGCTTCCGGCGTCCCGATATAGCCAGCTGGTGCCATCGCTGGCTATTGGGGGCAAGTCACTGGCCCCCACGGAGAGGGCTTGCAACTTAGACGTCCTCCTGGATGCACAGCTGTCTTTAGAAGAGCACATGACTGCCGTGGCCAGGGGGGCTTTTTGTCAGATTCGCCTGATACGCCAGTTGCGTCCCTTTCTGGATCGGGACTCCCTACGCACAGTCACTCAAGCATTTGTCACTTCCCGCCTGGACTACTGCAATGCTCTCTACATGGGGCTCCCCTTGGGGTGCACCCGGAGGCTGCAGTTAGTCCAGAATGCGGCCGCGCAGGGATTATGGGAGCGACGGGGTGCTCACATATGACACGTCTCCTGTGCGAGCTGCACTGGCTTCCTGTGGTCTTCCAGGTGCGCTTCAAGGTGTTGGTGACCACCTTTAAAGCGCTCCATGGCTTAGGGCCGGGGTATCTGAAAGACCGCCTTCTGCCGCCAATAGCCTCCCACCGACCGGTTCACTCACACAGAGAGGGCCTCCTCAGGGTGCTGTCGGCCAGACAGCGCCGGCTGGTGACCCCCAGGGGGAGAGCCTTCTCTCTGGCAGCACCTGCCCTCTGGAACGACCTACCCCCTGAGATACGCATGATATCAGACCTCCGGAATTTTCGTTGGGCCCTGAAAACACACTTATTCCATCTAGCCGGGCTGGCTTGATCCCATCCTCTCAGTTTTAATTGAATTCGGTTTTAATTGGGTTGTTTTAAATCTTGGGCCGAAATTATTTAATTGTTTTTTAAACTGTTTTTAAATTTTATATGCAATGTTTTATCTCGGCTGTACACCGCCCTGAGTCCCGCAGGAGAAGGGTGGTATAGAAATAATAAATAAAATAAAATAAAATAAAATAATAAAATAAAATAAAATAATAAAATAAAATAAAATAATAAAATAATAAAATAAAATATAATAAAATAATAAAATAAAATAAAATAATAAAATTAAATTAAAATAAAATAAAATAAAATAAAATAATAAAAAAATAAAATAAAATAAAATAATAAAAAAATAAAATAAAATAATAAAATAAAATAAAATAAATAATAAAATAAAATAAAATAAAATAAAATAAAATAATATAATAATCAAATAAAATAATAAAATAATAAAATAAAATAATCAAATAAAATAAAATAATCAAATAAAATAATCAAATAAAATAAAATAAAATAAAATAATAAAATAATAAAATAAAATAAAATAATCAAATAAAATAAAATAAATAAAATAAAATAAAATAATCAAATAAAATAAAATAATAAAATAAAATAAAATAAAATAAAATAATAAAATAATAAAATAAAATAAAAAAATAAAATAAATAAAATAAATAAAATAAAATAAAATAAAATAAAAATAAAATAAATAAATAAAATAAATAATAAATAATAAAATAAAATAAATAAAAATAAAAAATAAATAAAATAAATAAAATAAAATAAAATAATAAAATAAATAGATAAATAGATAAATAAATAAATAAAATAATAAAATAATAATAAAATAAATAAAATAAAATAAAAAATAAATAAAATAAATAAAATAAATAAAATAAAATAATAAAATAAAATAAATAAATAAAATAAATAATAAATAATAAAATAAAATAAAATAAATAAATAAAAAAATAAAAAAAATAAAAAAAATAAAAAAAATATAAAATAAAATAATAAAATAAAATAAAATAAAATAATAAAATAAATAGATAAATAGATAAATAAATAAAATAATAAAATAAATAAAATAAAATAAATAATTTAAGCCCTACACCAAAAATAAGCCCCAATGAAGAGGCGTGGCCAGTACAGGATGCAGCCCTTCCCTTCCCTGGTCACCTCATGGAGGTTTGGCCTCTTAATTCCAGCCCTATGGATCAGCTGAGCTAGTGAGGGCTGGGAGCTGCCTCTCATTTTGTCTTGCCTGGAGTTCAGGTTTTGCTCAGGCTGCTACTATGATGTGGCAGAAAGCCATGCGGTGCATCAGAATAGGCCCCCCCCCCCCCCCCCCCGCTCAACTGCTGGACCTGTTTTACCTGCTGCTGCTGGCCTCAGCCTCCTGGCTGTGCTGCTCTCAGTAGCCCTGCTGGGCTGCTCCTGGCTGTGTGGCAATTTGGCCCAGATTTCCAGAGCATCTTCCCTGCTGCCAGCCTGCCAGGGCCCCCTTTGGCAGCGGTTGTGCTGCCCTGTGTGAGCTCCATGGTGGTGTTTCAGTGATACGGAGGAGGGAGGGGGAGATCGCCCCTTCCTCCTTTGCACCCCAAAACACCATCTTCCCTGGCTGCCGAGTCCCTGGCCTGCACCCCTCTTGCGGAGCAAGATGTGCAACTCGATGTTATCTGTGGAGGCCTCTCAGTGCAATGCTCTGCTGCAGTTTCAAAGGAAACCTCTGCCTTCCCTGCACAGGATTGCAAGGCTGGAGGCTTCAGAGGGATCATTTTTGGGATGTGCATCTGTGCAGGGTTCCCCATGGAAAGGACGATTGGCAGGAAAATGGGGGGGGGGGATTTTCCTGCTGATTTTCCAGCCCAGCAGGCCGGCCAAGAGCAGCGCTGCCAGGAGGGTGAAGAGCCCCCATGAGGCCAGCAGCAGCATGGGCAGCTGCAGACAGCCCGCCATGGCTGAGAAGTGTCTCAGCAGTAGCTGAGCTAGCAGGCAGGGCAGGTGGAGGCCAGGGCATGCCAAAAGCTTGGCCCATTGCAGCCACAGGCAAGCAGACAGTGGGACGGAGAGGGTGGAGCCAGTGGTAACTGTGCTCCCACTCCTGTTGGCCCCCTGCTCTTTGCCTCCTGCACATCAAAAAAATAAGACCTCCCTGAAAATAATCCCAAGTGCTTATTTTCAAGCCCAAAAGAAAATAAGACCGGGTCTTATTTTTGGGGAAACACAGTAGTCCTCAGGTTGCAAGCACTCATTCAGTAACTGTTCAAAGTTATGGTGGCACTGAATGAGTAGTACTTATGACTGGTCCTCAAAATTCTGGCCATTGCAGCACCCATACAGTCACATCATCATGTTTGGGTTCACACTTAGGACCATTGCAGCCTCCCCTGATTGTCATTTGCACCATTCCCTGTCAGCCTCTCACAAGTAATGTGAATTGGCAAGCTGGAAGGGAAAGTTGTAAATTACTCCTGTTGCTTTTTCTCCCAAGGACCCTCCTAGAGAGTACAATATCAAGCACCTCCCCCAAATCATCCTGCTTGTGCTGTGTAGCAATCATCCACAACCCTGCTGACCTGCCTGCAGTCCCCCATTATCCATAGCATCTGCCCATGACCCCCAATGGAGTGTACATGACCTCTGCCAATCTGCTTATGCTCCAAAGAGCCTGCCACCAACAACCTATTTGCACCACCCACAGCCAGGCTGGCTTCCCTGCCCTTGTGGACTTCGGGTTGCTACACATTGCTTAGCAATGGAAATTCAAGATCCAATTGTTATTGTAACATGAGGACTGCCTATAGGTATTTTTTAGCATATAAATTGATAGATAAAATATTGAAAATAGTCATTTTCAATTTGATAAGGAGACTATTAATTAATCTGTCATTTCCAGTTTGTGGCTCTTGGAATTCTTTGCTTTTACATTGAGCATTGATTTTTTTTGATGTGGAGACAAAAGCTGTCTTTCTAAAAGACATACATTCTCTTATTAGGTGATACTATCAATAAGGAGGATCTGTACTTTTAACTCATCTTTTTTGTAATTTATGAATGCACCTCTGATAAAGGTAAGGGATGGAAAGGTGGGGAGAATTTTAAAAAATTGTGAATGGGCTTCTGGTTGGCTACATTTATGTATTTAGTTAAATGAATGTGCCAGCTTACTTACTTTCTATTCTTGATTCTCTCTGCTAGCCCGAGGAGATGACAAGATTGAGAAGCATGAATAGGCAGCTCCAGATAAATGTAGACTGTACTCAGAAAGAAATTGACCTCCTTCAGTCTAGAGGTAGATGTTTTCAATGATTTTCTGTATCTGAAATGCATTGATATGGAGCTTTATGTAAGAATTTAAGAGGTTTTATGAATATTGTCTTTTCCTATCATAGTCATAGAAAGAAAGATAATCCAATCAATTTTCTTTTTACTAGATGTATTGTTTTGATACTTTAGTGAAAATGTATTTGCCAATATTGATTCTGTATCATTTAAGTGACAGAATTTGCAAGCATTCTTCATTATATATGGGCAGTTTCCAGAATAGCAAGGCTATATGACTTTAAGACACTGTTGTTTGCTGCATTTCAATATCGTTTCATGTCAAAAGCACACTTAACCAGTAACTTTTTTTACCTCTTAAACATATATCCTGTTCAAAATACATTATTTTCTGCTTTTTATTAATAGGAAACTTTGACCTGAAAGCCATGAATAATTTTTATGATAATATAGAGCCTGGTCCTGTTGTGCCGCCAAAGCCATGTAAAAAAGGTGAGTCACTACACAAATGTTCAAGATGTAGTTTGTTTCTGGTATTTTTTTGTAGAGGGATTCTTATATTAGAAGGAAGGAAATTAGATGTACTGTATATGTTTCTTATGCACAACTACCATATTTTTCGGAGTATAAGACGCATCTTTTTACCCCCAAATAGAGGGTGAAAATCTGGGTGCATCTTATGGTCTGAATGTAGCGCTGCCCACCCACCGGCCTTCACCCTTCGGACATTTTCAGGCAGTTCCAGGCAGCAGGGATCTGGGTCGGGGCACATCCTGAGGAACAAACCTCTTCGGGACGGTCTTGGGGGGGGGGAAAATCTGCCTGGCAGCTTCAGGGAACAAGACGGGCCCCATGGTTTGCGGCTGGTCACCCCTCTGGCCGCCCAGTGGGCAGCTCAGGACAGACAATGGTCGCGATGACTTCACTCCCCAGCAATGTGAGGAGCCGCCGCCTAAGCCCTCTCTGCGTCTAGGAACTGAGCTGAGCCGAACGGGAGCCCCTAAAGTGAAACGTCCCTCCTTTCCAGCCACCGCTGCCCGTTGGCCAGATTCCCCAATGCAATTCTCAGAGCCGCGTTTCACTGCAATGTGCAGCGGGGAACCAGGAACCATTTTGGATTCGGGGAGGGGATTGCAGCACTGCCGCCTAAAAATGCTTTTCTTCCCATTGCACATTGCAGACCCGCACACCCTCGTCCTCCTTCTCAGCAGACTCACCTTCTCTTTCCTCCTGGCCAGATCCGCTGCCTGAAACGTGATGTACTTTTTTTGCCTCTGCACACCCCATGTTTGAAATCAGGAAGGGGATCGCGGGTCTGCCGCCCGAAAACGCTTTCCTTTGGAATCGGGATAGATTCCACCCAAATTTAGTGGACTCTGGGCAGTGTACAAAAATAGAAAAAAACATAAAAACAACGGATAACATTAAATCAGACAAACACCCCTGTATAAATAATCCAATAAACAACAAAATAAAATAGGGACCTTAAACAAATAATAAACATCAAACCCAGACCTGGCACCAAAGCAAGGTGTTCAAATCTTTCCTGATCCCTAGGAGAGAGAATGTCATCCTTACCCCTGGGGGGAAGCTGTGAAGAGGATGGTGGCCACAACAGAGAAGGCACAATTCCTAGGTCCCACAAGATGACAGCAGTTAATGGTAGGAACCTAGAGTGCATCCATTCTGCTGAAATGTACTGGGCAGACAGAAATGATTATAGACAAGCAGTCTCTTAGTTATCCTGATGCTACCTTTCTGGCATCAAGCCCTATGCCATATATGGCTTTATAGGTCCTCTACCTCACACATTAGTCATCTCATTATATTTGAGTAGAAGTTATAGAAATAGTAATTTACGGAAGTATAAATATTGTTGCCACGTGGCCATATTGTACAAACTATGATCCTTGGAGAGAAAAATAATGCAGTTTAAAATATATTAAATATTGCTACAAGTCAGTTTGCTAATTATGTTCAAATGAATGGAGACTCTACATTATATATAATCTAATTGTGCATATATAAATGTTGAATAGTTCACCCTTTTGTAGAAGATAAAGGCATTTATATATGATTTTCCATGCATTTTGTGTAGTATTTTCAAAATCTTTAATTAATTAGGGTAAAATATAGGAAATACTTTGTTAGATTGTAAAATAAATGTTTAATCAAAATCAGCCAAAAGACATGGTAATTAATATAATTCAGTAACATGTTAGAGTAATGTTCTGGACCATTCTTCATATTACTATGCTCCTAATAGATATTAGTACCCTGTTTTCCCCAAAATAAGACATCCCCTGATAATAAGCCCAATCAGGCTTTTGAACGCATGGCAATAAGGCCAAGCGCTTATTTTAGGGTTCAAAAAAATATAAGACAGGGTCTTATTTTCGGGGAAACATGGTAGCTAAAGTAAGAATGTGTCATACCCACATTAATAAATTGTTTGAACTCAACACATTGTTTCTTAGAAACAGTTCTAGTATAGGATGTTAAAATACATCGTAGTAATTTTCTCTTGTTGGAATGATTTTGAAATTTAGTCTGGTAGATCTCATACTATCTACCTCAAATGACAAAATTTGGCAGAAAAGAATATACTGTATTTTTCGGAATATAAGACACTCCGGAGTATAAGACGCACCTTAGTTTTTGGGGAGGAAAATAAGAAAAAAAAATTCTGCCTCTGCCTACCAGCATCCATCGGTATTCATCAGGCTAGCGTCCTGTCAGTGTGTGAGAGAGAGTTGAGGGCTGTTTGGAAATTGAAACAGTATTTGCTGTGTGAGAACAAGGAAGGACACAGCAAGGAGCCTGGGCATGGCTTAGCTCAACTGTTCTAAAGCTGCATGCTGTGCTGATCTCTGAAACTGAAACTCCTCTCCTCTACTTGTGTTTTGCTTGTATTTACTACCACTTTGGAACACCTGCTTTTGGTTTTGTATATTTACTTCATGAGTTATATTATATATAAAGAGAAATTATTGAATCCTGCTGAATCAGTTACTTGTGTGTGCTTTCTGGATGTGATTGCTGCTGCAAACTCTGACAGTCCTTGCAGCAAATAGTGAACAGCCAGGTCAGCTTCAGCACATTATTGCAGCCTGATTCAGCACGAGCAGCTTATTGATGGGTGGATTAGCTTCCCGGAATACTCCCAATCAGCTGTTCCAGGCTGGGATTGCCACAGACCATCGCCTCCTCAGTGCCTCGCAGTTTTTTGGGCTACATTTGGTGTATAAGACGCACCCAAATTTTCACCCTCTTCTAGGGGGGGGAAAGTGTGTCTTATACTCTGAAAAATACGGTACATAATTCACATATCTTACTATATTTTTACTGGAGACCAAAATCATACCAATAGAATTTATTTTCAGAATATTGCACTTGGTATGTAGTTAAAGTGTAGTACTGAAGACCCAAATTCTAGTTCACCTTCTGGTATAGAAAACTCACTTTCAATCAACAATGATTATTGTAGAGAAAACAAACAGGCCTTACAGTGTGCTTATACATGAATGCCAAATAAAATATTAATACAAATATTATTATTGACCTATGATGTTTATATATTTAAAAGTATTATGTTTTATAAGAAAAATGATTCTTTGTAGACCATCAAAATAGTTCCAAGCAAGTTCTGCGATCACAGCCAAGAGATGAGGACTTTGAAGGAGCTCCATGGAATTGTGACAGCTGTACTTTCTTGAATCACCCAGCACTGAATCGTTGTGAGCAATGTGAAATGCCGCGGTATGCCTGAATTTATCAAAGTCTACTTTGTATTAAGATGGGCTTTGAGATCTCAGCCATAGATGAAAATTTGGGGGATCTTTTAGTTCCCTACCAGGTCATTTTCAGTTTTTGAGAGAAAAAATTCCTTTTCATTCATGCTGCACTAAAGATTAGTTTATGGAAACATACTCTTATCCCATGGTGGTAAGAAAGTTTGAAAGGATATTCTGAATCCAAGATTTATTTTCTTTTAAGAATATATGCAGGAAAACAAGTGATTACTGTTGTTCTAGCCCCCATAATTACATTTGCTTGTTAGTAGTCCTTACATATATTTTTATAAGCATTGAACAATTACTTTGTGAAGTGTTACAGGTATGCAGACAAACTATGAAGAATCAGAGCTGATCTGGCCAGAGCAAGCTGGAAAACAAGAGCTCCCTATGTTTCCAGACTGTAAACTACTGAAAAAGGGGGAATCAAAGAACAGAAAAGGATAATCTGAAATGCTGCTTTTTTCAGGGTAAATTAAGTCTACACAATTGCTGTTTTGATATTGTGAATTGTGATGAGGAGGGAAAAGTACTGTACAATCTTATTTATAGAGTACAATCAGAAGTGATTTTACAGTCCCTTTTGCTTGTACAGCACTCACCAAGTCATGCTAACACTGGTAGTTAAATAATTATACCATATTACACAGGAAAAATAGTGCTGCATGCTTTCATTAGGTCTTTGTGTTTTAAAGCTAAAAAGTAAAAGTATACTTTTATAAATTACCAGTATGTTCCCTTAAAACTGCTTGACAGTGGAGTGGACATATACCAAATGCAGAACTGTTCCAAATTCTTTTTGGAAAACTTAAGTTCAGCCATTAATAGTATAAGAAATGTTTGCACCCTCTTTCTTAGGCCTTTCAGCTTCCACTTATGTGAATAATTCATAATGTTTACAGCACAGAAGGTACTTTGTGTCCCCATTCTGATTTTGCTGAAAACCACTAATCAATATGAGCTCTCCAATAAAGTTTATTTGCACATTGTCAGTAAACTAACTTGTATTAATTAGTATGAGTGGTGGTTTTTGAAATGTTGCACATTGCATTTTGGTGTGATCCTTAGACAGTTAAAGGGTATAGAGAATCCAGAAATGGTATAGAGAATCCAGAAATTGAATTGTACTAGTACCTGTATGAATATGCTAATCATGAATAGGATATTTTATTTGTGAGTGCTTCAGGATACTGAAATAAAGCAGTCTTCTGAGTTTGAAGTTGAGTCAAAAATAAAATTGTTTATGAATAATCAGAATTCCTTTTTCACACTGAAGAATCACTAGGACAGTGAATTTTACTTCTTACACATTCATTATTCTAGATTTTGCAGGGATTGCAAAATGGAGAATCATATTTTACTTGTGGATATCTTGCTCTTATCTGTTGGTATTATATATGATATAATTTCTGTTCAAATTGAAATATATTGAATACAATAGATGTTAGTCCATAAAATTTTTACAGAAGCTATATGGAATCAAGCTTTATTCAATTAGTCAATCAAATAGAGCTATTACATTAGTGCTCATATTAAGATTATTTTAGTTGACTTTTACACTATAACAAATATGACTGAGAGGTTAAAAGGGAACTTATAAGAATTCTGTATCCCTACTTAAGAGTAAAATTATGAAATTCTTTTCTTTTACCTAGAGAAAAAATTAAGATATGAAGTTGCAAAGACTCTCATGTAAAGTATTCTTTTTAAAGTTATCTATTAAATCACATTAGTATTGCTCCTTAGTATTGGTCATAACTTCATGATCTTTTTAAAACAACCTTCTGCTTGGCACTTAATCAACTACTATAGGGAAGGGAATTGTACTCATTAAGTTCAGAACATACAGTAAATAGCATGTTTGGAGGTATACAGGATTTTAATTGGCAATGAGATACTGTACTTACAGGTTTGTATGAAAGTTAGGCTGAGTTTATCTTAAGGGATTTTTTTTTTTCTGGATTTGGAAAGCACCATCAAAATTTTGATAAACGAATACATAGGAACTTAAGGTTTCCTTATCTTATGTCGTGAGCAGGGAGTTCTTTGGACATGCCATGCTAGGTGAATTCAGTACATTTGCATAATGCCCAGGCTAGATTGTGGAACTAATATAATGTTCAATGATTTACTCATACTTTCATTACTGAAGTAAAAGTCAAAACACAGTTTGTAGTGGAGAAGGTAATACTCTGTTTCCCCTAAAATAAGACATCTCCTGATAATAAGCCCAATCGGGCTTTTGAGCGCATGGGTTAAAATAAGCCCTCCCTTGAAAATAAGCCCTCCCCAAAAATATTTAAACGCATGTGCAGCCGGTCCCTGCCATTTCCTCTGGTTAGGGTTTGGGAGACAGAGCTGGAAATCAGGTAAGATGGCAAGAGGAACCCCGTCTTGCTCCACGTGCCCCAAAATAATAAGATCTTCCCAAAAATAAGGCCAAGCACTTTTTTCGGGATTCAAAAAAATATAAGACAGGGTCTTATTTTTGGGGAAACACTGAAACACATTTCAGTGTTCAAAAGAATCCTTTTACTGGTTTACTTGTAAATGTCCTTTCACATGTAATATAGATGATAGCAATGAAATTAATTTTAATATGTAAGTTCATGTGAATCTATTCATGTCTACATGGAAAGTACCCGGAAATAAGTGAATTTAATCAAAATGGATTTAGGTTATGCCAAAATAATTGCTGATTGTCTAAAAGGTTTCATTAATGTCTGGGTTCCTTATGTTTAATACACAAAATGCACTATAATCCATATAAATTCAGAATGTGTGTGTCTGAGTGGTGGGATTCTAAGGCCATCAGGAATTTTTAAAATGCACTACTTTTTAATAATAACTGATTTGCCCTTGCCCATAGATCTTGGTTGAATCTGTTTACTAGAAAGTTCAAGAATACCTTCTAAGTCTCCAAAACCTTTTCTTTATACATGCCTCTTTTGTATTTAATGTTATTAAAATGTATCCTTTCACATATATAAAGATGTCACAATTTTAATTGATAGAATAGTTTATAGCAAGCCAAAATTAAATCCTGTACTTGATTATTTGATGAAACTATCAAGCTAGCATGTTTGTGTAGGAAGAGAGGGCTAAGAAGAAAAGAGACTGTTTTGTAAAATCTGAGGAGATGTGTATTTCTCTGTGATATGTATGTATTTATCCTTATGACAGATGTGTGAAGCAAATTTAATTTTTAAAGAGCTGGTCTCAGTCATATTATTAAGTCATGTTTTCTCTCAGTTATTGTATGTTTCAGTTCTGTACACTTATTTCCCATCCTTTTTTACTATAAATTCCTTTAAAGTCTCTCGGATTTTACAGACTTGGAAATTAGAACAAAATATTTTAATTTTTTTAAAGAGTACATGAAAAAATTAAATATTTGGTTATGACTTTGTATTCTTGAATTTACAAGCTTCTAAATTGAGAAAGCGTGTAGTGTGGTCTAAATGTGAAATAAATTCACAGTATAGCATGGAATAGAAAGATAGGCTGTCAGTCAACCGAAGACTGAAAACATGCAGAGAAATAAATGCTTATTATAGTTAACATTGTGTCCATGTGTTATATTTGTTTTTACAAATAATCTTTAAAGCTTATCACCTGTGCGAGAAAGGGAATTCTTAATTGGTAGGTTAGTTGAATTAATATAATAGCTTAATCTTTTTTTAGGTTTTTTAAAAATACGTTCTTTAAAACCTGTACACCTATATCTTCTGCTCTATTGAAATCCTGTTAACTTCGGTCACTATAAAACAAAACCATGCTCTTTTTAATTGTAAATAGGGTGTTTTTCTATCATATGGATTTGTGTGTGCTGTGAATGAAAACTATTATTGCAAGATAAAATGTATAAGGTGTTAAGAGGCTGTCCATGCATGATTTTCCAAATAACATATACTGAACACTGCAGTTGCCAACCCAATAAACTAAGAAAATGTAACATTCTGCTTTTGGTTTTATATGTAGCAAGAACTTGCAGTTTCTTTTAAATCTTTCATCTTAAAATAGAGTATCCTTATAGGTGTATTGCATTTTTTTTCAAATATAGATTCTTTTCTTCGATCTCTTTAGTGAACTTATTGTCAGCCTTTCTTGCATGTTAAGCCACAAATGGTGGTCCTATGCAATGGAAAATTAGAATTTTCTACTTTATTGTCTTCATCTTTTATACATCTCATCATACCTGCTTTGGTTTTTAGTTGTCCAAAAGATATCTATAATATTTTTTAATTTTTTTTAGCAAGAATTTATATGGTTAGACAAAGAATAGCTTGCTTTTATGTAGCCACTTAAACAGGTATGGAACTTCATTCAGCCAAGACAATCCATTCAATATTGCTTCAAAAGTTTAGATGGTTTTAAGGGGAATTAATGGCATCACTTTAGTTTAACAATTCCTGATTAAGGCTGGAGCCTGCAGATAGGAAGCCACTATTTACACAAAGAAAAATTATTTTATAGAAGACAGGAACAAAACAACTGGAAAGAATCACCTAACGGTAGTCCTAGCCACACTGTTGGTTTTTCTTCATAGAAATAAGCAGGATCACTGGTAGTGGTTTAACCTGCATACTGTTCCGATTCAGTGGAAACACTGGATATCCCTTAAAGATATATAGAATGGATTGTAGTGATCTGCTTACTCATTTAAAATGTTTGGGCAGTACTCTGCATTTCAGTAGCAGCTGGATTCCTACTGGTGGTTGCCTCTTAAGGAAAACTATAATTAATTAGGTAATTAAGAATAAATTAAATGATCCTTGGTGTCCTTTCTAATCGAGTGGGTTCCACTTACCTTTGCTACTGGTTCGCAACAGGAGCCCGCTTGCGCGTGATGCTTCTGTGCATGCGCAGAGCGTCCGTGATGACGTCTGGGTGGGTGGGTGGAGCCTCCTGCTGCTGTTATTACCGGTTTACAAGATCCGTATCGAACTGGTAGCAACCCACCACTGTTTCTAATGATTTGTGTCCAACATATATGAATTCCCTTAAACATGGTTCCCTCTTTAAAAACAATTAAAGGCTAAGTTACTAACATACATACTGTAAGATAAAATATCACATCCAGTGTTTACTTTAAACAGGTATTATTTGATATTGAAGTAATTTTGTTAAAGTTGTCTAGCTCTTGTAATGTCATGTCATTATAGTGTTTGTGAACTAAGCGATCATATTTTGGTGACTATACAACTTACCTTACAATATATACTTCCCGGCCTGTTTAGATCAGCTTCAGAAAAGCAAGTTTACTCTAAGTGTATACAGTGCTAACTTTTCTTGATTCCTTACATATTTTTATTCAGGTATTCAACTTACATCCTATTTTGTTTTACATGTGAATTTTATTTGTATATTCCCTTAGCTTCTTTTAAAAGTAGGCTATATCCAGTGCCTCTCCATACATAATTTGCTACCATAGACTCCTTGGACACTTTTTAATGCATGGGGTATAGTCCAAATTCAAATTTCCTACCTATTAAGGTAGAACATTTTCTGCAGTCCTGCATTTTTTCATTTATGGTAGTGTCCAAACCACAACAGCTACAACTGGGTCATTAACATAAATGCAAATAAGAAACATTTGGAATGAAATGTAATAGATTTATTTTATACAGCTGAAGATTCTAAAAATGCTGAAGTATACCTTTAAAAATAATATAAATAATATTGGCTGATTTTTTAACAGAATTTACAGGTGACTCCTGGTCTTCTCCCTCCCTCCCCCCATTGATGATTTATTGTTGAGTTTCATTTTTCATTTAGGATTCCCTGGGATCTCTGATTGGGTGTTCAAAGGTATCTTGTCTTCTTTCCCCATCATAATGATTAGAGTGTGCCCATATAGTTCCACCTGGGGAAAAAGACCATGCTGATAAGATATCTGCATCTTTGAAGTAGTGAAGAAAGTGAGGTGAATGTTCCAGTGCTGATATGAAAATACAAAATAAATGAAAGACTTGAAGAATAGGTTGAATCCTGTGACTATCTAGATTTCAAATGTCAAGCAGTGACCAAGTGTCAAACAATTGGTTCTTTGAGGATCTAGAGACAATAAAACATGCCAGTATGTAAGGTGATTTTAAGCTTTATTAATATGTTTAACAGAGAGATGCGAATAGAAATATAAAAGCATACCAAACAAGATGCTCTTCCTTTAGATGTTGGGGAACCTCAATAAGAACAGTGGAGAGACCTCAAAATGACCAGGGTTTACAGTAGTGAGCTCTCGAGCCAAAGCTCAAGGCTCAATACTAGGGTTTTTATTAAGATCTGGTAGCAAACTTAATAGTGTTTCCATGGTGATGAGACTATAGGATCTGACCATGACTGGATGGTGCATAACTAGGATGGGTGTTAAAGTTCTGAGAAGTTATACAAATAAAGCTGTATGCAGATAAATGAGGTTTTTCTACAGCTGTGTGGAGATTTCCTCCCCTCCCCCCCCTTTTTTTCCTTTATTCAGCTTAGAATGAAAACAAGCAAGTTATCTCGGAATGAATTCTACTTCTAGAATTTTCTTAATATGAAGGAAAAATCAAAATACGTGACAAATTATGATCTTCTGCAGTGGCACTACACATACAGTATAGTCAACCCAAATCCAAAATTTCATTTGATACTCGCTTCTCTATACAGGTAGTCCTCAACTTACAACAGTTCATTTAGTGATCGTTCAAAGTTACAATGGCGTTAAAAAAAAGTGATACTTTTTTCATACAACTGTTGCAGCATCCCCATGGTCACATGATTTATATTTGGATACTGGACAATTGACTCATTTATGAACATTGTAGTATTCCGGGGTCATGTGATCCCCTTTTGCACCTGTCTGGCAAGCAAAATCAATGAGGAAGCCAGATTCACTTAACAATAGCAATAATTCACTTAACAAATGTGGCAAGAAAGGTCGTAAAATGAGGCAAAACTCACTTTACAAATTTCTCACTTAGCAACATAAGTTTTGGGCTCAATTGTAGTCATAAGTCAAGGACTACCTGTACTAAAGTTACCTTTCTAAAAGGGGGGTAATTTTCCCCAATTACCAAAAGCAAAGCAAAAATTGCCAGTAGGTGCTTAAGTTAAGCAATACATGCTTAACTCTTGGCAGAAAATTAGCCACACAAAATCTGTTAAACGTGGATTTTGAGAGCTTTTCCTATGGTTTTTGAATGAGGTCTTAACACTCTTCTGGGAAACCAAAACAGTGGGGCTTGCCTCACATCTGAGGGTAAGGTGATTAGCTCAGTTTCAGAATTCATTCTTCATTCCCTTCAGACAATACGAGAACAATTGGCTTTGTTCATATCCCACATAAACTGAAAGACTACTTTCAGCAACCATTCACAATCTGGTGCCTTTTGTATGGTGGATTACAATTCCCATCATTTCCACCTAAGAGGACATGTCAGATTTTAATAACTGGCCAAGTTTTGTCTAAATCTCTGTCAGTAACAAACACCTGCTTAGCGCAGTAAGGCAGGCCAACACAGAGTTTACACAACATCTCTAGCAGTTTATGCTATCGCCCAGCCATCATTGGTGATTAGATCATTTATAGCAAATTAGAAAGCAGAAACTCATGTACCGTATTTTTCGGTGTATAAGATGCACCTTTACCCCCAAAAAGGGGGTGAAAATCTGGGTGCGTCTTATACGCTGAATGTAGCCCCGCCCACCCGCCAGCCCCCACCCTTCGGCCATTTTCGGCCAGTTCCAGGCGGCAGGAATCTGGGTCGGGGCACAGCCTGAGGAACAATCCTCCCTCTTCAGGACAGTCGGGGGGGGGGAATCTGCCCAGCAGCTTCGGGGAACAAGGCGGGTGCCACAATTTGCAGCTGGTCACCCTTCTGGCCGCGCTGACTTCACTCCCCAGCAATGTGAGGAGCTGCCTGAAACACGGTGCACTTTTTTTTGTCTCTGCACACCCCATGTTTGGAATCAGGAAGGGGATCGCAGGTCTGCCACCCGAAACCGCAATCCCCTTCCCGATTCCAAACATGAGGTGTGCAGAGACAAAAAAAAGTGCACCGTGTTTCAGGCAGTGGATCTGGCCAGGAGGAAAGAGAAGTTGAATCTGCTGAGGAGGAGGACAGGGGTGCGTGGCTCTGCAATGTGCAGAAAAACACTTTCAGACGCAGCGCTACAAACTCCTCCCTGAATCCAAAGCACTTCCCAGTTCCCTGCTGCACATTGCAGGGAAACTGGCCACCACCTGAAGCACGACTCTTGAGAATTGCATTGGGGAATCCGGGCAGTGATGGCTGGAAAGGAGGAACGTTTCCCTTTAGGGGCTCCCATTCAGCTCGGCTTGGCTCCTGGACGCAGAGAGGGCTTAGGCAGCGGTGGCGGCAGCTCCTCACATTGCTGGGGAGTGAAGTGCTGCGGCCAGAGGGGTGACCAGCCACAAATCGTGGCACCCACCTTGTTCCCCAAAACTGCTGGGCAGATTCCCCCCCCCCGACCATCCTGAAGAGGTTTGTTCTTCAGGCTGTGCTCTGCCCCCCCCAGAGCATGCGAGGGGTCTCTTTGGGGGAAAGCGAGTAGTCCCTGCTCCTCTCGCAAGAGGAGGAGGAGGAGGGCGGTGCCACCTTAAATGCTGGTAGGCAGAGATAAAATACTTTTTCCCTTGTTTTCCTCCCCCAAAATTAAGATGTGTCTTATACTCCGGTGCGTCTTATACACCGAAAAATATGGTACTTTGGACATGTGAAGCAAGCAGTTGACAGGCTAGAAAAAAACAGTTCTGTTTGGAAAGACTAAGGGAATTGGAAGAAAAAAGGTGGATGGACAGGATCAGAGAGGTCACTGGTTTCTGGAAGAATTGCAGATAATCGGCAATAAAAATTGAGATGGTGGGCTTATTTGACCATATGGTCTCAGAGCATTGGATCTGATTTTGTAGCATCAAGCTACAGTATACATTTACTTATTAAATCAATT